TACCCGTTTTTTTGTGCTGGTTGAGTGGTTCTGCATCTTTACTAATCTCAGCTCATTTTTCAGGTATATAGCAACTATCTTTTTGAAGAATAGTTGGGATACCATTCCTAGAATACACCGCTTCTTTTTTGTTAGTGTCCTGTTCTTCCAGCTGTTCATCACTTTCTCTAAAAGAAACACTAAATCAGTCAGCTTTGTTAATTTTACGTACAATTGGCCTATATGTCTTCTCGACTTAAGCTGGTCTAAGTCTATGCGGTCCGGATAAGTTGGTGCAGTAGAAGTCTGGCACCACGATTTGGGTTTCCGGTTTCTGGTCCAGTAGAAAACCAACTCCAAAATCAGCACTCGATGGTCATTTGATTTGGGAAGAATAACAATTATCACTTGCTCAACGAAGTGCATTTCCCCGTTTATTGTCGAATCTGGGGGGAATGGTGGTTGCCCGCAGGTACCCACCTAGTGCGTCGACACGATACACCCAATGGCTTGGTTAAACGACCTTAGTCGGCGCCGATGGGACTCCAGCCATGAGGCCCTGGAGCGTTAAATCACCTGTCGGTCAAACTCTACAAAGCGCTGGTTGTATGAGGGTTGCGTAAAATTTCCTAGGAGAAACAGGTTATTATTTGGCCGATCTAAGGAACAACAAATTACGATGCCGGTCGCACGCACTAGAACCCGAACCAGCAGCGCATTACAGTAGGTACGTTGGTGGCGTCCTGAGTGATAATCGGAATTAGCAATGCGCAACCTAAGACAACTCGTAGCTTTTCTGGTTTCTTCGGGTTCAAAAAGGGGTGATGAGGTAAACACCACTTCCTTTCGTTCCCTGATTTGGATTGATGAGTTGGTGCAGGTTTAAGGTAGCTTTTAATGATGTTATTATTCATGCGTTCTCTGTATCGCGCTAACAAAGTCAGATCATTTGCAAAACGCCTTCTTATATATTGCGATAAAAAATGGGCTAGACGATAATTATCGGGAAGTCTTTAAGCCGTTCTTCACGGTAATGGTATTTCGTAATGACCATCCTGGAACACTGAAGACTCTCCAACGATTCGAAGCGCCTTTTTGTTTTTGACAATTTGGCATACGCCCGGAGTCTCCAAATCATTGAAATCAGCCTCATATAGAGCCTTTAGGCGAGGAGTGATGTCATCATCTTTCGTACTTACACGGTGCACATGCCTCCAGACTCTATGTCATATGGGCAACGGACCAAGTAGAACCCAACGCAGAGGTATCTTAACAGCGTAAGGTTCCTTTTGCTTGCCCAGCCTTTCCTCCATAGGCCAATGTTCCTCTGGAACGTCTTCTCCTATCGATATTCTCACGCGTATCTGGAAGCTCCACAAAGGTAGTATCCTTCAAGTGATTATATTGACTAGCTATCTCCGTTGGGCTGACGACCGTTGGGCTGATGGACAGAGAGCGTATTGCAAAGGCTTGTTCAGCCGCTACGGTCTCACCTGAATCTGCCGATTCAAACTCGATTCTGAGACTTGCAGCCTCCACAGTGGAGCTCCCACTCACTGTAGATAAATTCAAAGTTGTTGGAGTGCCAGTCCGACCAACCTTATCAAGTAAGTCTTTCGTCACCAAAGTTACGTCCGACCCACTATCCAACAATGCGTACGTGAGAACGCTGCCTTGCGGACCATTCAAACGAACCGGTACAGCTCCAAGGCAGGTTCCTGATTCCGACTGAGATGTAGAGTTGCATAAAGCAACCAACCTGGATCGCCCTTCGGAAGAAGAAATAAGGCATAAAATAGCCGTACCGAAACGTGAGAAGGCACCGGGACCAGACGGTCTGTATCCAGCCCTATTCCAAGAAGGCGGAAATTCCCTGGTGACCCACCTGACAAAGCTTATTGGCAATATGTGGTGTATGTCGACAATTATCCCTATCTTCAAAAAGGGTACACGGACGCTATGCGAAAACCACCGTGGCATCAGCCTGTTAGCTGTGGCATTGAAGGCGCACTCTGGCCTTATCCTTCAAAGGCTGATTGAACACAGAGAGAAGCAGATTTGTGAAAACCAAGCTGGGTTCCGTCCTGCAAGAGGTTGCATCGATCATATCTTCACCCTCCGACAGATTCTGGAACAGCGACACTGCTTCCAGCAACCAACAATGATTGTGCTCCTTGATCTGAAAGCTGCCTTTGACTCTGTGGACCGCCAAGCACTATGGCAGTGTCTGTGGAGCAAAGGTGTCCCCCATAAATTCTTGACCCTCATTAGGGCGCTGTACGCCAAATCCCGTGGCCGTGTAAAGGTCTACGGGAAGCTCTCTCCTGAGTTCACCACATCAAGTGGTGTCCGACAGGGCTGTCCTCTTTCACCTCTCCTCTTCAACTTCGTTGTTGATACGATCATGAAAGACGCACTACCAGCCTCTAATGCCTGTGGGGTCGAAGTGCTCCCTGGGCCCCCGCTCACAAACATCGAGTACGCAGACGACATAGCTCTTCTAGGATCTGACCCCGTGGCAACGCAAACAATACTAAATAATCTAAATAATTCTGCCTCGCGGTTTGGTATGCGCTTCACACCTGCAAAGTGTAAAGTGCTACTGCAAGATTGGGTGGGCTCGAACCCCGTGGCCGTGTAAAGGTCTACGGGAAGCTCTCTCCTGAGTTCACCACATCAAGTGGTGTCCGACAGGGCTGTCCTCTTTCACCTCTCCTCTTCAACTTCGTTGTTGATACGATCATGAAAGACGCACTACCAGCCTCTAATGCCTGTGGGGTCGAAGTGCTCCCTGGGCCCCCGCTCACAAACATCGAGTACGCAGACGACATAGCTCTTCTAGGATCTGACCCCGTGGCAACGCAAACAATACTAAATAATCTAAATAATTCTGCCTCGCGGTTTGGTATGCGCTTCACGCCTGCAAAGTGTAAAGTGCTACTGCAAGACTGGGTGGGCTCGAACCCCAGCGTCATGCTTGTGGATGAACCGATTGAGGTAGTAGACAAATTCGTTTACCTGGGCAGCTGTATCAGTCCCAGTGGTCTCACGAAAAATGATATTTCCATCCGTATTGGGAAGGCCAGAGCAGCTTTTGCGAACCTACGTCACCATTACGTGCAACCGATGATGGTGAGACCCCAAGCAGGTCTCTATACCACACTTCTTAGGAGAATCGCACATGTTATTATTATTATTATTATTATTACTGGCATGGCCTGATTTTAGGCATACAAAACATAACCGATTCCTTCTCACCACATGCCATCTTGCTTGCATTGGCAAGTCAGTGAACCTACCACATTGCGCCAGTCCATGTCTTTCGTCGCAAAAAGGGCACGGGTCATCGGTTCCTTTCTGAACGGAAAATGTAGTATGGCGGCTTTCATTGCCTACCCGATGCTGCTGCTTTTGAGGACGATGGGGTTCTGAGCCCATGGTAAGCATACCATGGCGGGTGCGGAGCCTCTTGAGCAACGAAGTTGCATAGGCCAGAGAAACCTATCTGTTTTCCAAGGTTGTCCATAGAGTCAGCTAACCTTGCCCAGTTCCGACGAGCACCCTTCGATAGCGTACGGAGAATATGCTCTATGGTGGAGACGGAATTCATGTCACTCGTATGATTCATCTGACTCAGAGCAACATGACAGTTTGAAGGATCTATCGACAAACGAGACAATGAGCCTGCATCATCATGCAACGGTTTCAATTTCTTGAACAGATCGTCCACCATGGCTCTGGACACCATATGTTCTCTCCCAAAAAGATCCTTAAGTATTTCTGTCGCTCTACCATAAGCAATCTCCGGAGGCAAAATTACGCATTCAGCCATCGCTTCCTTCGCAGGACCCCTGCAGTAATTAATCAAATATAGCATCCTCTGTCCACTCTGCACTCTATCCTCTATATAGTAATCGGACTGTTGAATAAATCTCCAATAACACCTTGGGTTGCATCGAAAGTCTCCAAGTCCACTCTAGGTAGGTCTGCCTTAACCACGCAAGAAGTCGGTTGGACTGCTGGTGCCTCACATATGGGTGTGCTACTTACTAGCCCGGCTAGGTAATCCTTTACCTTATCCTGCGGGTCAACCTGCACGTCGACGACAGAATCATCGTCCGAATCCAGCTCTAACTCTGCTAGACGCACCTCATTACGCGCCCGCATAAGCCGCAATTCACTCTCCATTTACTCTGCTTTAATCTGCGCTTTCAATAACGCAGCCAACTTTAATTTTCTATTCTTAGATGAGTCAGAGCCAGGAGATGAACCAATAGCTGGAGGATTGCCAGAACGACCGACATGCCTCGATTCCTCCGGTAGATAGAGATCAATTGACGGGGCTTTCTCCATCTTCTCCGAGTTCGTAGATCGTTCAGTACTGCATCCGTAGATCGTTGGGTACTGTGTCCGTAGTCCGTTGAGTACTAGAATCGTTGAGTACTGAGCCCGTAGACTCCGTTGAGTACTGGAAACGTTGAGCACTGTTACGGCTATCTGCTTTCTGAGTTTGAGTCCCGCGTGCCGATCCAGGAAAACGACCAAGAAATCCGAATTCTGGAATCACGGCACTATTGCAAATATAATAATATACATATTCAACAAACCTCAACGGATTTTCTTCTGCAGATAACGTAGGGTTACAAAAATAAGGCGGCACAATTACCAGCCTGAGGATAAACGCAGATCACTTCGCCTCAAAATAGATATCGTCACAACCAAACAGATATCGACGGCGAACAACCGCAAAAATCACAGTGTCCGACCAAAGTCCGTAAGAGTTATAAAAATAATTCAGCAAAACAGGAAGCTTTCAGTTCATCTGGTCAAGGGGGCTGTCACATGGGGCTGGAAACGGGGGCACATTGTGGGCAAGCTGTCTTCTACCCCGGTAGCGTTAGCTAGTTTGAAGCACTTATGGCGTTAAAGTGGTGCATCCCTGATTCTCGAGGATCATGTGTATCAAGCTACAGTAAGGGATGTTTTTTGTTTTATGGCTGTGAGACTTGGCCCGTTCGGTCAAGGTAACTGGGACGTATTTAGGTGTTTGAAAATCTCTGTCTCAAAACCATAGCTCGCGCGGGTTATGGTCGGCTTATCCGCAGCGAGGAATTTAGAAAGCGAGTTTTCACTTGTGTGACGGGTACTTCCATTGAGAAATGTGGTTGAGACATGTGTTGCACATGCCAAGCAACCGTTTACCCAAAACCGTGCTGTTTCCATGCCTAACTCAGAGTGGCGGAAGTAGAAATGTGGCTAATCCTTAACCTGAAAGAGGGCTATGGAAAAAATCACGAAATGCTTGGGTGCTGCCGGTGATACTCGCCTTCCAGGATGGGAACCGCTTGATCCTCACTGCGCCTGGTTGAAGACGCTGCAAGATACGGCTTCTCACGGATATCAGCGGCAGTTTTGTTGTCAGTTTCTATCCAGACTGCCTGAATGAGTGTTTGGAGGTGTAGGCGCCTCGGAATGATTGTAGTAAGCCCGCACCAAGTCCGTTTTCTGTTCAGTTTTATCCGTTTCTCCACGATGAGGCTTTCAATCAAATCAGGGTTACACGACATGGAAACATAGGTGTTGAATACCATGTCATGCTGTCGATGATAATGATAACGAACCATACGAATACGGCTACAATAGTTTCCGTTTACCTCCGTAAAATGACGAATTAAGCCACCGTGCTTTTTTGGTGTATCGCATTGCGCGAAACCAAAAGCCAAGGTCCGATATAGATATGTCGGTTAAGGGTTACGTGCACATTGTAAAACTGGCGAGAGAGAGTTCCTGGCCAGTGCGCAGTTTCAACACTAGCTCCCGTATGGGATTATTAGGAAGTCGCTAACAATCCAGCCAGGGTTTTAGTTGGAATGTGTGGACAATGGTTATTGATAAGTAAACTTGATTGGCGCCTACGGTTATTTCTCGGGTTTACAAAAATAGACTCAGACAATGTCGCCGTGCATTCCCGGTTATCAACTTACTTTCTACCATAGTTATAGTCGCCGAGATATGGCTGACCTGTCCATCAGATTCGATAAATTTCAGCAACTCAACAATATCCCGTTGATTCGCCTGGGTCGCACTTGGAAATGCGCAGTCGCGCTGATGTCGATGACTGATTGTAAGATGATGTGAGAGGATGAAAGATGATACGCTGCGGGCTCTTGAGGTCACCAGTGAACTCCGCAAAATGGACACAAGATATCGTCGAACTCAGCGGAGTTCGTTGTTAGGTATATCAGACCGGCAGGTAATGACTATGAGGACGCACGCAACTACATTAAACGCTAGGAGAATGACGCAGAAACGCGGAACAGTAGTTCGTTTGTAAAATCATTGTCTTAAGCGACAGAATGGGCCCTTTGGACATATCTAACTGATTTGCTTCGTCGCAGTCTCTGAAGGATCCAATGAGCTTTACTAGAACTTTGATGTCCATAAGCCGCGAAGCAAGGTTGTTTGACGGTTATCACTCGGTTATATATAAATAATAATGTTAATTCCCAACTTGTTGGTGGCGTGCCGTCTAGCATGATTATACGTTTGCAGGCAGAATGAAGCATGACTGAGGGATTTGCGGGTTGCGGGGATTGCGCGGAAGGGGGACAATATCATAAGCACCAGTAAGTATTCGATGAAATAGTAATACGAGGTTTCTTTCCCAGCTTATGGGGAACAATGGGCATGAGATCCTACAAGATTAAAGACGGCCTGCTGACACGAACTTAAAATAAAAACCATTGCTGGCGTTGGGTAATTGGCCGGAGTCACAACGTGCAAAAGTGGGGATAGAAATGGGATAATGCGACTTTAGGAAGGATGGCAAGTTTTGCCTTAAAAATATGGCGTAATCTGAGACTAAGCAGACGCATTGATTGCACTCTTGTGGGGAAGTCAGGTGCAAGGGTAGGTTGGATGGAAACATGTTGCTATAGCATAGGGCCAACCGAACGTCGTGTACGATTTGAACTTGCGGAAGGAGCAAGTCGAAATTGCAGCAGAAGAATAGGCTGTTCAGATTTGGGGAAAAATTTATCGGGTACGATAGAAATTGCTCCAGAGACGGTTCTTTGCCTGCAGTTTATTGCGCTTAAAAGAAAACGCGTGAAAAGGAGAATGCGGTCGAGGGGGAGGGGAATAAGTGCGGGCGTTCTATCAAACTGCGTATGGCGGTGCCGTGCCATCACTGGCCTGACATAGTTCGGGTTTGGACAGCCCCTTAACGAACGTCACTTTCAAGGTTATGGGGCTGGGGTGTGCAGTTCTTTGGGCAGCTGGATTTATTTCAGGTTGGTCGAGGAAACAAGATGGATCGCAGATAATATGGGATCGCAGGTTTTCTTGGTCCGTTTGGGGATCCTGTGTTTGTAGGTCATAGACCAGGTGGAGTGTATAACAACCAACCGGTTCGTCCAGGCCGGGCACTGCCGAAGTTCACATACAAAGGCGATTCGCAATCGGTCATTAAACCCCCGGATAACCACCAGTTAACCATGGTTGGATGGTTATTATATGCTTATATAACAGTTTTATAACCGGAGGACTCGTTTTTGGGCTGCCTATGTCCCCAGGGTTATACCATCGTGCTCTTCATCATCATCAGCACCAATGTGAGGCCGACAATACCGGCTCATGTTTCGCAGCGAAATTTGGTGCAAGTTGCCATTCCGACGCTACGAGGCACCCGGCTCAGATCGTCTGGATCTTGAGCTTCCTTAGGATGATGAAGCCATAGTGAGCAGTCGGATTAAGCTACTGCAGGAGATTTGGCCCGAAAACATTACGAATGAAGTGAAAAATTGTCGGCCCCGGCTCCGATCTTCAAAAGGGGCACAAAAACCTCGCTCGAAGGTTGTCGTGGTTTGATAGTCAAGGGTTTCCGTGGAGTTGGTCTGTTCATCTTGATCGGTTAATGGGAGAGATTAATCCGAGAGAATCAACTTGGTTCCACTCAACCGATGGCCCATTTACCATTACCCATTACCAATAAACAACACAACATCAGTGTTTGACACTGTTGCTTCGCAGACACCGTTTTAGTTGGGTCAGTTTCCCCCACGTTTCCGAACGTCTATCAGTGGTCGGTCTTTTTGGCTAAAAGGTCGCTGTTAACTTTTCAGAATATGCAACGGTACCCGGCGATAATAATGATAACAATGTTTATCTCCCAACTTGTGAGTGGCATACCATCACGTATGATAATAATGGTACAGTCTGACCGAAGGCATGACTGGAGGGGATATTGGGCACAGGGAGTGGGAAAATGGACAGCATCATTGGGGGTGGGCATTAAACGACGTAGTCATGATCACCACTAAACCGGCGTTGGAGTGAAGCACGGTTATCATGCATTGAAGAGAATGCCTTTGAGCCAAAAAGCCCGAGCAACCCGAGCTCTCACGGAACGAAAAAGACCCCGCAGGCGAAAAGCACCCCCAGAAACCACAATGGCCGGAAGCAGCCATCGCCGCAGAGGCCCCCTTGGAGCCTTGGACTCAGACCCAAACCTGGTGCACAACTATTAAGTCTCTTAACCACCCTGGTCACTCAACTTTCGGCTCCTCACCCTCGGAGGAAGAAGAGGCAGTGTTGAAATGCTTGTACACAAACTGCCTCAGCCTTTTCAACAAACTCGGCGATGTTAGACAGTCAGCTTGCCTTGAAAAACCGTCCATAATCGCACTCACAAAGACCTGGCTCACACCAGATGTCTCCGACGCGGAGATCTCGATAGACGGTCACTTTATTTTTCGAGCTGACTCAATACGAGGGAGGGCTGGTGGGGTTGCTCTGTACTTACATGCGGCCCTACCAATCCCGATTGTCCTCGCTGACACCACCCCTGCACCCTTCTGCGATGCACTGTGGGCCCAAATCCCGCTGCGCGGGTCCGATTCTATCCTTCTTGTTGTGGTCTACCGTAGCCCTTCGAGTCCCCCTGAAGATGACCAATTCCTCACACAAACCCT